TCACACAAACACAACAAGGGGATTCCACAATAGCTGTTAGCTGACAACTTGGAATTGGTTTTCAGCATGGTGTGCAGTGTGTCCCTAAAAATAAGAGAGAAATATGTACAGAAGAAGGAGGGCTAAAACTTTCTACAACAGATGAACAGGATCTGAAAGTCATCAAAAAAATTCAGCAAAGACCTGACAGAGGAGCTGAGAGATGATCTGGACCTTCAGCTGATCATCTACTGTTCACTCAAGTCTCGCCAGAATTGTTCTCAGAGGGATGGCAGCTGTCAAGAGGCTGTTCTTAATGAAGGGAAACAGGGTGGAAAGACTGAGGCATGAAAATGACACTAGAAGTGGACTAAAAATTAGAGGAACAGCTCTGTGTGTGCTGACAGAGGCTTTCAGGCCTGATAGTATATGAAGAAGAAGCTGCTGAGCAGCAGCTGAAGGAGGAGAGACACATCAACATGTCCTGTCAGGACTGATTTACCAGATATACAACTGAACCTCCACCGAGGTACTGCGGACATGCATGTGATAACACCTGAACCCTGAGGCCTCTGGAGGTGACCTAAAATGTAGTCTAGTTTCTGAAACCGTGAATGTTTACCATAGTTAACATGGTTAACATGTTGGGTAAGTGGGACTGACTGTGATCAAAAATCAGCTTTTACTTAGGCTTTAAAAACTGGACCTTCGGGGAACATGAACACAGCTGGCAGATCTTCCCAGACTTGTACTAATGACCTCACTGCTGGATCACCTCCATGATCAGTACACAGTGACCTCCCTGCAGCAGGATCACTGTTTCAGCTTCCTCTCACTTATCTCATATCCAAATGATCATTCAGGAGGAACAGGAAGCTCTGGCCTTGGTCAGACGACCAGAAACAGATCTGAGATCCACATAAAGGTCAGAGCAACAGAACAAAGACACAGCAGCTCAGCTGGACAAATTAACCTTTAAATAATGCTGAAGGCGGAAAGATGAGGATGAGAAAGATGAAGGTGCAGGATAATGGTGAAGGGTAGGGGTGCTCCAGGTTTTAAAACAGGATTTAAATGTGGAGAAGAACAGCTGGACACACCGTGTTGATCACAGGATTCACACCTGAGTGTGTTCAGCAGGTCCTTTCCACTGTGAAAGCAATGAGTCACTGACATGAGTCAGGCCACAAAAGAAGAAGAAGAAGAGGAGCGCTGTGTGTGGCGCTAGCTCTCCCAGCATGGTTTGGTGTTTTGAGTGTTTGTAATCTGAGCTCATCGGTTAGGTTTCCCATCTGCAGACTGAAACAGTCAGAAATATCCGAAGCTTGCAGTTTGCTCTCAGAATGAAACGTGATGGTTCAGGGCTGATCGGCGACTCTGTTCACTACTCTGCACAGAAACCTATGCTCGATGTCATCGATGAAGCTGTGAAATTACTCCCTGTTTGAGGAGCGCAGATGTTGCCAAATGACACACGTTTTCTATCAACAGTATCTATGAACAGGCTGCAGGTATCACTACACTGAATGTAAACCAATGGCCTTCTACTTCAGTCCCACTTACAAGACATGGTAATAGTGTAAGACATGGTCATAGTGTTCCTGAGGTAGAGACTATATGAATCTCTTAGGATTTCCACAACTTTGACAAAACACAATGAAAAGGCTTATTGAGTCCATTAATAATATTACAACCACAA